CCTCTTTAGAGCATCTCCAAGGGGCCGGAAAAATCTGGCCCCTTAGCTAAATTAAGGGAGATTTAAGGGAGATGTGGTCCAAGGGAGCGGAAAAAAACTCCCTTCACCTCATGTCCCTTAACTTCCTCACCAAATTAAGGGGAAGGTTAAAGTCCCTTAACCTTCCCCTTATAATTTTATATTAATATATATGTTTTTAGAATTAATTTATAGTTAATTAAATTTAGTTAATGTATAGTTAATTTAAAATAATATAATTAAGTTAATGTATAGTTAATTCAATTTGATTAATATTTTGTTCTAAATTACTTATTTGTTAAATTTTAATATGAATAATTAATTTAATGATTATATAAGGTAATTTCTTAATTTAAATTAATTAATTAATCATTTTTAGTTATTAATATTTAATTATTTATTCATTTATAAAAAACCATATATTTAATTAAATCCTAATCTATAAAATTAAAAAACTAAATATAATTAATTAAGGGGTAGGGGACTTTTAAGGGGGAACCATTGGAAAAGAACCAACCCCTCTCTTAAAGTTCCCCTAGATTAAGGTACATCCAAGGGATCCCTTGGAGATGCTCTTACCTCGTGTGGATGAGGTGTTCACTCTGTTACTATGTCATACCATAATAGCAAATAATTCAGTGCAAATATGTACCTGATTTCTTACTTCCCATCATAGACCAGGACATTATATGGGAAATGGTGCTTAAGAAGGTCAAGAGACTCAAGACTGCAAGCTTTCAGACTGTACGTTTGTACTGACTGGGATATATACAATTATGATACCGAGAAATTTGATACAATCAAGTGTCAAACATTGACACATTGGAAGTGAAAAGTTGAGAGATTGTTATGGAAGGCTATTGCATGGCTTGAATGTAAAAATTATGAAAAAATGAGCAGCTGTCAACTTAGAGCAACAGTAGTCCACCATCAAATCACACACAATGCCCCAACACCCCCTCTCCCATGCACCCACTCTGCTTGAAAAAATTCCCAAAGAGGAAGGGGGAAAATGCTGAACTCGCTCAGGCACCATTCAAAAGAAGAAGCTCGAAAAGTACCAAATTCGAGCAGCAGAATTTTAAGTTGCGGAGTTCATCAGTTAAAACTTCCGTTCTAAGCATATTCACAAATCAAAGATTGCAAATTTTAATAACCTAAGTTAGTTTAGAATACTACATTTACCAGCCACTGGTAGCAGAACAAGTTAATACTCGCAAAATCAAAGCACAAGTTGCTATATTTCATCTAGGTAACTATACGGTACTCAGGCTTCATTCAAGCTACCGCTTTTCCTTGCACATGCATTTATAAAGAAAGAACATCTACCGCTTTATGATTAGGAAGAATTGACATCAAGAAACTCCAATGGAGGAAAAGATTCTACAGATTAATCACCAAAAATTGTGGATACACTATATTAACCTAAACTATGTTCCATGCTAATCTTAACAAATTTAGAAAATAACTTTCTTGGGGACATTTATGTTTAGGGGTGCATATATGTTTATAATGAGCATTCCAGCGGGCAATTGATCCATAGTCTAGTAAAATATGTTTATATCGATCTAATGAAGATGTGACCTCTTCCATAGAAAATCCAATGGTGCAAAAGGTCTTAATTGTAAACAGACACCATATTAGGATCACCTAACTGGAAAGAGACCCTTTGTAGTTCTATTTGTTGCGAATAGACCCCTTATAGTCCTACGGCTACTTGTTGCGAATAGACCCCCTGAGCGATATTTTTTTATCTTAAAATTGTTTAAAGAGGCGGATAGACCCCCAATAGTTCTATTTGTGAGGATAGACACCCAATTGATAAAAAAACCTTTAAAGGATCAAAATAAGTTCACTAAGAGAATGTATTTGGACTTCGGCCAATACTGCAAGGGGTCTATTCGCAACAAGTAGAACTACAGGGGCTACATTCGCAACAAATAGCACTACGGGGGATCTCTTTGCAATTGGGTGATACTACAGGGGTCTGTTCGCAATAATAGAAGTGCCCTCTTCACAACCTTCTAGTATTCCTATATAATGAGTTATGTCAAACATGAGAAGATCTTTCATCCAAAAAAAAAGAGAGAACACGAGAAGATCTTGTACAGAAGGCTATAAGTATGCCCGTTCTAGATCATCCCAACATCATCAGGATTTCTTTAAACAGATAATAGTTGAAGAAACAAAGTGTGTAGAAGCTCCCTTTGTTTATTATTTATTTAATTTAGACAAGAGCAGAAGAATCATCTTACAAGTAGAACTCGCCAATGGAAAGTTACAAAGAGAGCACAACTTACTAAAGGAGTCCTATAGATACTGAAGAGAGAAAGGTGACAAATCGAGGAAGAAATGGATGTTGGGGAGAAACCCCTATGCCGAGATCCAACCAAATAGCCAAAAGAGATAAACCAACACACCAACAAGAGCACAAACACAATCAACACCAGTTTTACGTGGTTCGGCGAGATGCCTACATCCACGGGACAAGGAGGGGGGGGGG